TCTGTTTAGATTGCCCGTTAGCTTGCTTGATCTGACTTGGCGAAACATCCTCACTAAACTTGGACAAAGGTTAACCTCAGAACACATACCATGGCTTGGAGCAGTAGTAGCTCGTGGCGATGTCGTTCTCGTGGCGCTAGACTCAACATCACCATCACCGCTCAGCATTTCCAGATGGTTCTGACCGTTGCGTGCGATTTTCCGTGTTTCTTCCCGTCTGAACCACCCAAAGGCAAGGTCCCAACAGAGCATGACGACTGCAGCGGGAAGGGTAATCCAAAACACCTGCAAGCCGCCGTGTCCTCCCATGACAGCATTGATTGTAAGGAGGGTAATAAGAGTCACCGCCATCAGAAGACTTCCAAAGATGGCACCCGGCTTGTCAAGAAACGGATTCATGATCTCCGCAAGTGGGAGAATCTTTTCCTCTGCGACATCCCCTTCTCCACTAGAGCCTCGGGAGTCTGGAATATTGGGGTTCACCGGCTTCTTCTCTCTTTCTTCAAGAGGAAGTTCATGTATGTCGATGGTCTTGGGGATGAGTCCCTCGCCTCGGAACACGACATAGAGAAGAAAGGGGAAGAGGGCGATTGCAGTGATAACTACGGGGACGATCATGTTCGCAGTATAGTTGACGAACTTGATCTCAAAGGCCCCAGCAAGAACAAGGTTAGTCGGATTAGATGAGACAAGGATGGCGGAAGCGATGTTGGCCATGGCGAACTGAGTGAAAATCCATGCTCTGGGATTTGCAATATTGCTTGAAGCACGGGTCATATACGCCAAGAAAGGTGTCCCAGATAAGATAATAGGGTCGTTGCCAACACATGCGCTCAGCAAAAAGAAGAAAGCGTACAGGAAGAAGAAGAGGCGGTGGCCAGCCTTTCCTGCGCGTTGGAGGACCTTGAGTGCGAGGTACCTGATGAGACCCGATGCATCGATAGAGATGGCGATGTAGGCCAGTGTGATGAAAAAAATCATAATATCGAGAGGAGAAATGTTCGCAGTGCCAATAGTGCCGTCGTGGACTTCTTTTCTGCCTATCGCCAAGATGGCCAGCAGAAAGAGATCTGCTATCAAGGGCGCCGTGACCAAGTTCATCGGGAACCATAGTCGCACATACGCCTTGCCGCCATCTGCTGGGGACTCATTTCGAAGGGGGATAATTTTCAACGAGCTTAGACAGTTCAGGCACGCGTAATAGATTGATTTGGGGACGAAAATCGGTATGTGGAAAGGGAAGAGCACATTGATGTCTGCCGAATTGCCTGCTTAGCACCTGGATCTCCATGCTCTTGGTCATTCTGGGCAACTCACTGGTCAGGACGAACACGATGAGCGTGATGATCGATCGCCAATCCGTGATCTTGGTCGTGTCAAGATCTTCAGCCATTTTCTCGCGCCGTTTCTGGCAAGCAACGTTGCGCAGTTGGGCTACACCCCGCGAAAGAGAAGATTGACGGAAGCAGGTTTGAAAACAGGCAAAACAGAGATTCACCTGCGTCTTCAGTCTTTCAGGGACCAAGTTAGCGCAAGTACCTACGTCAAGGCAAATTTTCCAGAGCGGCTCCACCGCAACAGTGAATGGATGGATGCAACGCAAGTTATTACCTATTGTTTGAATGAATTACGGCTCACCGTCTCTCATATTGTCGCTGCCCAATTGATTCAAATGGCACTTCTCTGTCAATTCAGAGCTGTCGCAAAAGCTACTGCGGGCTTGCAAAGACATTGTCTCACTTCACAGTTCTCAATCACCCGAAAGAGCAACTGTGATCATTGTCCTGCTCAGTTGTCTCAATGGAATCGTGAACAAGGGCCAAGAAGGAAATGCAGTTCATAATGGCTCCAATGCTTGGCGAAGGTCACTTGGAATGGGCTGTGCTCGATGATGACGAAAATCGGGATCTTATCAAACCAATGAAAGATTGCAATTGAACCACGTTATTCTCGAGAGAGAAACGACACGCCGCCACCAAGTGTGAAGTCGACTTGGCAGTGGCTTGGCTAGGCCTTGCCTGTATATCACTAAAGAACTCATTTTGGGAGCCTTCGCTGGACGTCTCTATTAAAGACAAGAAGCACCGGGAAAAGTTATACTTGCGTCACGTTTCTCACAAATTGATTCTTTCCGAATGTCGGTGTGACTGCAGGGTAAGTGAACTACTGCGTGTCAGTGCGCCGACCGGAAGTACCAGGGCTGGACGGTCTGCTCCTGGCGCGACGAGCATGACGATGGACTGAACAAGCAGTGAGAGAGGGAAAAAAACTCAGGACGACTAATAAACGGAAAATGCTGAGTCGCATATCGCCTTGGGCCTGTTATGTAAGGTAGATCACACATGTTGCCAACATACGAGGCCGTGCTGAAGGCCAAAGGTGGTGTCCGGAATCGGATCCCGAGTCCATTTCTCTCGCTTCCAGTTCCGATCCCTACCCGTCAATAATCTCCAAAAAATACCACGGGGTAATCGCACGAAATCTGAAGCCAGTCTGAAGCCGGATCTCTCACCTCTCTACGCGGAGGATCTTCCGATCATCGGGTGCTCTCTGTGGCTTGGGCGACCAGCTTGTCACTTGAATATGCTATCTATCATATTCCCAAGCTATCAATCATGTCATTGCAGGCTATCTCTACACATATTTGATCTAGTCATGTCAGCCTGTCTTACCCGCGCGATTTAAGCCTGCTTGTCTGGCCCCAATAGAGAGCGACTCTTCCCCGCAAATCACACACCGCACTGCTCTCTTTTTGCCTTCGAGGTCATCTGTAGACTGATCAGCGTCTATACCCATGATCCATCGACTTACCTAGTGGATTCACTAGCCCTCGCCGGAATCCAGACACATCAGATCGGTTCAGTAATTCAGTCAGCCGGGCGGGGTAGAACCGAGCCGGGAGGGGGGTGTATGGAAGATGCGATCCGTCCATCAGGCAGCGAGTAATTACCTGTTGCCGGCATTGTTAGATGTTTAGTGTGCGGAAACAGTGGGGAGAGAATGCGCGATGTAGTATCTACCCCCCGGAACTCTTGGAAGCTGTTGCCAATGTGATGAGCGACCCTGCTACGTATTTAGTATCATGCAGGCAATGGCAATGAGGTGTCCCAGCGATCCTGAACCTTGATTCCTACTTCCTCAATCCCCCATTGTTTGCCTCCTCAGTGTCCTCACTCATCTCCTCATCAAGCCAGCAAGATAGAGGCAAAAGAACACAATCAATACACCAGGCCAGTTATTTCATATTCAGCTATAATGGCTCCGCTCGCTTCTTCTCTTCAGGATCCTTCTCTCCTGATCGAGAAGGCATACATCAACGGTGAATGGGTCTCATCAAAGTCAGGGGAGACATTCGAGGTCCGGAACCCCGCCACGGACGAGGTGCTTGGTTCGTGCCCGGAATCAAACCTTGACGACCTCAACGATGCCATCGCCGCCGCAGAAGCAGCATTCCCCCTGTGGCGAGCTCAGAGCGGCCGCGCCCGAGCGCGCATCCTACGTAAATGGTTTGACCTAATCACCGCCAGCAAGGTAGACATTGGAGCAATCATAACTGCGGAGAATGGCAAAGCCAAGCCTGACGCCGAGGGCGAGGCCGTCTTCACTGCTGGGTTCTTCGAGTGGTTTGCCGAGGAGGCGCCTCGTCTGTACGGTGATGTCGTGCCTCACAGCAACCCCAGTTCCAGAACCACAATCCTGAAGCAGCCAATTGGCGTGTGTGGTCTCATTCTCCCATGGAACTTCCCTATGGCTATGGGTGCTCGTAAGATCGCCGCAGCCCTGGCTGCCGGATGCACTGTTGTCGCCAAGTCCGACGGTCTCACTCCATTCTCCTCCAACACTCTGGCTCTTCTGGGTGAGCGGGCAGGTCTGCCCAAGGGTGTTTTGAACATCGTTACTTCTCTAAAGAATACACCCAAATTGGGACTGGCAATGTGCGAGTCGGACGTCATCAAGAAAATCTCCTTCACCGGATCCACCAGAGTTGGTAAGCTGCTGATGAAGCAGTCTGCCAGCACGCTCAAGAAGCTCAGCCTCGAGCTGGGTGGCAACGCTCCCTTCATCGTTTTCGACGATGCAGACATCAAGACGGCCGTACAGAGCGCCCTCATCGCCAAATTCAAGGTCACCGGTCAGACCTGCGTTTGTGCCAACAGAATCTACGTCCAGGAGGGAATTTACGATGAGTTCGCCAAGCAGTTTGTCGAGGGTGTCAAGGGCTTCCGCGTAGGTCCCGGGAGTGACCCCAACGTCACTCACGGTCCCTTGACCACCAGCGTGGCCAAGGTCGAGGAGCACATTCAAGATGCCGTGTCCAAGAAGGCTAAGGTCCTTCTTGGCGGTAACCGCCTGCCCAACATCGGAAATAACTTCTTTGAGCTGACTGTCCTGGGCGATGTTGACGACACCATGGTCGTTTCCAGCGAGGAAACATTTGGTCCCTTGGCTGCCATTACCAAGTTCAAGACCGAGGACGAGGTGATCAAGAGGGCTAACAGTGTTGAGGTTGGTCTGGCTTCATACCTCATGACCACAGATCTCAATCGCTACCACCGTGTTACTGAAAGGCTGGAATTTGGTATGGTGGCCGTCAATACTGGCGTCATTGCCGATCACGGTGCTCCGTAAGTGTTGAACCCTACGTTCTTTGATCCCCATACTTTTAGTGACGCCTGTAACTAACTACTTTCTCACAGATTTGGCGGCGTTAAGCACTCTGGCTTTGGTCGTGAGGGAAGCAAATACGGCTGCGACGACTACTTGGTTTACAAGACAATTGTGACCGGAGGCATCGACACAAAGTACACCAGCCTCTTATAAGCAACAAGGAGATAACCGGGACGTATATAGATGTTTGATTTAGATAAATGATATGAAAAGCCGCTCCGTCACCCATGAGTATGAATGCCTCGCGGGGAATGATGTGATCCTGTAGTGCCTTTTGGATACCGCGAGATGCTTATGCCAGTTTTCTCCACGACGGCTTCAACAACCAATAAGGTCGCTTAACTCAGTTGGTTAGAGTGCCGTACTAATACATCACACGATGTGTCTAGTAATGCGGACGTCGCCAGTTCGATCCTGGTAGTGACCATTTCATCTTTTTGCTTCTCCACCTAGGGACGGTTTGGTGTGAAAAATGAAATTAACTTTGCTGCTGCTTTCTCTGAAGCTTATCCTGATACTACTTTTTGCCTGTCCAGGCCTTGTTCTCGAAATTATTGTGTGAGATCCCACCCAGCACTACCATGTCGACATGGTTTCTACACCACATGTCTTAAAAATACCTCCATTTTCGACCCCAAGATTGATTTTCTTGGTACTACAGGGCGTCGGGCGAAAATGGGCCGCTCCTAGACAGTAATCCAAACCAGGGAAGAGAAAATATTAACTTTATGCACCGTTGATCATCTGATGTCAAACTATTCATAGCTCAGCCCGAGGAATCAGGGGCAACTTTTGTAAAGTATAATATGATTTGACTCTGGCTTTGATGGGAAACAAGGCAGAAAATTTGCTATACTTTCGAGTCTTTTACGCTTCCAAATGTCATGGGTCTCCCGGGTTTTACAGCTGGCGCTCACCAGTTTACAAAGTTTTCTCATTTACCTTCGCCGCAATACAGATGGTAGTACCTTAAATCTTGCTATTTAAACAGCAGATCTCCCTCCCTAAACAATCGTATCATTTCTTCACACCATCTCGGTTCTTATCTATTCTTGCAGATTTGAAAACAGCTTCTATCTCAATCTTAAACTTTGGGCACAATGGACGGAATTCAGGATTTTGGACGAATTGTTTTGTTTGGGTTAAGGTTCATTTCCATCATCACTTTGATCTTTGGAGTAATTACGGTGGCGCTTTTGGAGAAGAACTTGTCCAAAACATTCAGTGATCTCGGGCTCGACGACCAGAGTCATAACCTGAAACTCTTGATCATCACGGTACTGCCCCCCTACCCCCAATCTACTTCCTTATTTTCACCCAGTGCCCCTTGGCTGACTCCGTGATTTAACATAATCTAGACTGTTATTTTTTGCGTTTGGATGATCATCTCAATTATCGGATCGCTGGCCTGTCGGCCAAGGTGGACATGGATCACTGGCGTCCTGGACATGTTCTTCATCTCCGTGATCGCAATTAATCTACCACTCATGTCTTTTACAAAGCTTTCGATCTGCGGACTAGGGTTGGGTGAGCACATTTGCAACTTAGCCGCTCTTATGGTCGAATTTTATGTCACTGCTGTGTACGTCCCATCCACTTTGATACTCGACTCCATCATGACGTTTTAGTCACTAACATATCCTTTTTGGACATTAGCGCTCTCGTTCTCTTCACAGGAGTCATAGCTATACTGGTTTCCCTGTATCCTTTCAAGTACGAAGGCGAAACCGAACATCGACATGTGATCTGGGTTCGGTGTGTTAAAGGCTGGGGTACGAGTATACGGGGGGCTCTGTCGCGGCGTTCAAACACGCGGCGTTCCTTTTGGCCAGGGAAAGAACCCGGCCGAGAGAGACTTGACAGTATTTCATTGGAAGAGCACAATTTGGGTAGGTAGAGCGTTGTCGGCTAGGTTGTTCTGGGAGGTGGCGGACCGCCAATTAAGACGAGGGGCTAAAACGCAAGAAAAAGGATGATAAGAGGAACTACTGGGAGGCGAAATTAGGGTAGAATGTCTTGGTTAGTTGATTGATTTGAATGAAAGATGGCCAATGTCAGATAATAACAATCATCAACAGTCGTAACGGTGAACAAGAGTCCCAATAAATAGCAAGCTTTGATTTTTCTTTACCAATTACTCGGTTAAGATATCTCCAGGAGATCTTCTAGAATACGCTCTGGCGGTAGTTGTTCGCGGCGAGAGTTCTGGAATCCCCCTTTATGTGACCTTGAAGGCATTGATTGAAGGACCTCCATGTAGCGTTTGACCTCTGCTGGACGGTAATCGTGCAGATCTAAAGAATGGAAACTCTTAACATCATATGCCCACGAATAATTGAGACTGAAACGTACCTTGCGTTACTCTCTTCCGGAGCTTGCGTGTTTTGAATAATAATAGAACCAGCGCTATGTCGGATGCTTCAAAGTTCTTAAAACACTTCTGAGAAATCTTCAACGCTTGTTGCATCTCAACCCGGCTTGTTGTATACTCGCCACACCATTTATTGTTTCGAAGCTCTCGCACATGGCCGGAGCATGTCTTTCTTGCGACAGCATCATCAAACTCGGGATATAGATTATATAATCCTGCTTGAATCAGCTGAGAAAGAGAAACTACACAAGAGCGTCCGCCATGGTGCAGCGCTCCTTGAGACAGATATTCCCCATTATCATAATCATCATTGGCAAGCCGATGATTGAAAAAGCTCTCCATTTCTTTATCGCGTTTAGCAATGCCACGATAAGGGTGAAGCAGGGACTTGCTATGTGCAAACTGCCCACTGGGAAACTTTGCCGTGTCAACTGCGCATATTTTCACCTCGTAAGGTGTTTGCCAGCGGCCCTTGCGAGGCCTACGGCCGTAGCATCTCCATATCGCGCACTGAATAGTGAAAAGCAGCGAGCTGCTCCACGATACAAGATTATCCGACTCTTCCACTCCGAAGTCGATGTTTCTCAAATGTTTGAACAGCATCGATGCTGCTTCTTCGTCCTGTAAGGAGAGAAGGTCGATTCTGTCGCGCCAAGATCCCGCGTGCGGATACTTTGTGTCTATGGAGGCTACGATGTCTCCATTGAGGGTGCATGCGCTTTCGATGTCGAATGCTCTGAATAGATACCGTGGGACATCTGCAAGCTGACATCCAGGATGGCGACTTGCCGGAGGATAAAAGAGAGTAGGCCCGCCGTAGCATTTGTTCAGTGCTTCAACCCAGAATCTGACCCACTGCTCGGCAGTCTTCTCTTGTTCTTTTCTCTGGTTGTCTAATTTCCGAGGACTTCTCGCGCCGTAAGCCTCAGTGTAGGCTTCGTCATTAAGCAAGCGGTCCTCATGATCGTAGTAGGCCTCGCTCTCGAAATGGGGATCGTAAGGAGTGACGAGACAAGCCTCAGACAACGGAATGAAGTAGTTGTCCGGATGTAGACGCCCATTGAGACATTCTTCATAGCACATCTCCAACACTTCTCGGAGCACGTCGGCATCGTCGCATGAACTATCGAGCACATGCTGAATGATATCCCTTAAATCTCTCGCGAAGTGAGAGAGCATCTTCTCCTCCGACGATCCGGGCCGAGCAAGGGACACGATATATGCCTTGATGTATGCTTCACTGTTATTACTGAGACCTTCAGCCATTTTCTTGAGCTCCCTGGCCTGCCGTCTTACGGAGCTTATTTGGCCCATCTCTTGACCCGCGGGCGTCGGGATGGTTTTCCGATCGTCTATGGAAAGAAGTATCTCCCTCGCCTGGGCAGCCGTAGCCTTGGAGGATTCCATCAGCGCCTCCAGAAGGCGATAGAGGTCCGGCTGGGTCGTCTTCAGGACACCCGTCTCCAGGCCGGGCAGCCCGCCGAGCTTCGGCTTCCCCATGTACACGACTTGATTGTAGGTGTCGTCTGCCATGGCGCTGGATGTGTCAAATGAGGCTGCGGGCGATGATGCTGGAAGGAAGTTGTACTTGGCTAATTTTAAATCGTAAGACGTGGCTTCACTGCAACCTCGCCCTGCAAGCCCCTCATCTGCCGGGCGAGCTTTGAAACGGGCCCTTCGATCGCGATCTGCACTTTTTCAATCTGCCCAGCGTCAAGGGAATCTCGCTGTCCTGCCGACAATGTGATGCTCCTATTTCATGATTGGCAATGAGCGTGCTTGGGATCTGGCGATGTATCCACTCAATAATTTCGCGATGGGGTTATAATAGACATATATTGGAAATGGCGGTGATTTAAATGAGCCCTCTTTATTAGATTCAAAGTCCTTTTCCTAGTTGTCCCTTGAACCTCCTCAAAGGCTCAAAGGATGGGGCCTAGGTTGATCGTCTCAACTTTGACAGCAGCATGGTAGCGCGCCAAATTCGCGAAATACAACATGTCACTGTAAATATGACGAGGCTAAAATACGACGGGACCCGGTATACGAGTTAATTTAACCATGCATGTCTACAAAGCAGGGGGTCGATTCCTAATACAATCCCGTCATTGGAAATGCGGCGATTAACCGAACGGGACGCGTTCTATCCTACTCCAGATCGGCTTCATCAAAAACACGAATGAACTCGTGGAAAAACAGAATGGCTTCGAGGTGAACCTCGATTGGAACCTGCGTAAAAGAATTTGCATCAGTAGAAGAACTAGATCAAGGCAGGAATAAACCCGAGACTTACATGCTCATTCACGTCGTGAATCCCCCCTGGGCCGTCATTGTGTCGGTCCCTGCCCGGCCCGAACCTGTAGATTTGGGGGCTGAGATCCCAATAGTATCGCGTGTCTGTGTTGCCAATGATTTGCATGGGTGCCACGGTGACGTCCCCACCATCAACCGGTTCATCGAAAACGTGCTTGATCACGCCGGACAGAGCGGACCAAGTGGGCGAGTCCGTGGACGTCACTGGCGAAGACTCCAGGGCTGCATTGTTCCAGGACAGTGCCAGCGTGTATTCGGGAACCTCGGCTGGTGACTCTCCGACCCCAGGTTTGGGCCCAGCCGTGAACTTCAGTCCAAATTTATCCGCTACAGGCTTCAGCGTGTCGATCAGCTTCTCGCGGACCTGTGCTACAGTTTCCGTGCTGGAGACTCGGTAGTTGATCAGGCCGTTGGCGAATGCTGGCAACGCGTTGGCTTTGTTGCCACCCTGGAAGATGGTCACGGCCTGCGTGGTGTGGAAGAGGCTCTTGATGATAGGATCATGGGAGAGGAGCTTAACAATTCGGGAAGTGCCCTTGGGGTCGCCGATAGCGTGGCGAAGTTCATCGGGCATCTCGGTCGATAGATCTTCTGCTGCGCACTGCAGTAAGGTGTAGAAAGGGTTATCGGTCCTGAGCTCAAGCGGGAAGTTGGCTTCGGCAGCGTTTTCAAGCGTGGTGACGGCCTGAGCAAGAATGCCGATCGAAGTATGAGCCGGTGGGATGCTGCTGTGCCCGCCTGGAATGTGGACTGTGACTTCAAGATCGAAGTAGCCTCTTTCTGAGATCTGAGGGATTCCAAAACTACGGCCAAAGCGGTCTACGATGAGTGTTTGACCCTCATCGACAACGATCGCGAAGGAGTCGGGACCCCAAATATCAGTAATTCTTTTGGAGAGCCGCGCTGCGCCGTATTGAAAACCACTAGTTTCCTCGTCAAAGCCGAATGAAAGAACAACAGTTCGCCGAGGAACAAAGTCTTGGTCTAGGAGAGAACTGATGCTCGAAAGAATTGCAATCAGATTGTTCTTGCAGTCCTGGCTTCCCCGGCCATAGATGAACTGGCCATCGAAGTGGCCCGAGTAAGGGGGATACTTCCATTCTGAGAGCGTGTCGGCGGCCACGGGCACGGTCTGCGGCGGCACGTTAGCATCGAATATCCCGTTATAAATAACTAAAACTACTCACATCTTGATGGGCCATCAGCAGAATCGGCTTCAGCTGTTCGTCGCTACCTTGCCAGGTGTACAGAAGACCATGCTCATTGACGAGTTCAAGGTGGAGCTTTTCGTGCCTGTCAAGTTGTGAGTGCCAATGAGTTGAAAATACAGCGTTAAGCTGTTGCATAGAATGAAACTTACAATAAGGGAAATGCTTTTCTCAAGTATTTCTCAAAGTTGTAAAAAACATCCCAGCGCTTATCCTCACCGAGCAGACCCAAATTCTCGAAAGTCTCAGTCGGCACCTGAATCGCGCCACTGAGTCGCTCGACGCTCAAATTGCGGAATGCATCAGACTTAAACAGCTGGTTCACGTTCTTTTTGGTGATATCAGGTCTGGCCACGGGAGAGACCCGATTTTGGGCAGGACAACGCGGGAGACTTTGTTCTCCGAGTGTCCCGGTCTCGGTCTCAGGTCGCATACAATGGCTGCCATTGCGAAAGTTACGAGGTGACAGGTGGTGAAAGATTTGGAATGAGAGGAGCAGTAAGGAGAGAACTGCAATGGCTCGTACTATGTGTGCCAGAGGCCGATTTCGGTGCCTCGGAGGTGCTGTTGACGGCGAGCCCAATTGGCTGCTCAGTAGCGCCTTCTCCGCCATTGTGCTGGTAAATCTGATTCAATTGATCAGTATGCAGGCGGGTGTGTCGACAGATTGTCCAAGAATCGCGTGGAGGCAGATAAACGAGGGAGGAGAAAGAGGAGGATGAGTCGGCAAGCGGCACGCGTTTATCTCTGGGGCGATAATTAATCATCAACGAGGCAAACAAGCGGGGTTGAGATCCATGTCTCACAGCACGCAATTGCTTACTTTTTAACAAGTACAAATAATTGTAGCGCACATCATTGGTGATGTGGTAAAAAGGAGGAAAAAGTCTACATTGAGGAATTACAATCTTCCAATACCCGGGATGCATTTTCTGGGGATAAACTGCGACTTTCTTCTGGGATTGATTTTCAAACCTTCACGGTAGCGAAAGATAGATAGGTCAGCATGGCATGATTAGGAACTAAGAATTTGAAGAAGCTCTCTTGAATTGCTTAAGCTAAGTTCCGGCATCCCTTACAAACATTGCGAATACCCTAAAACTGTTAGCATGCATGTTCTCTTTCCAGCAGGCCATAGTTGAAAGTAAAGCAAAATGAACTTACAAGCATTCACATATGTACAGGTATAAGGGCTCACGCACTTCGAGCCAGGTATATTAGCAAATATTCAAATTTCGACAACAGAAAGATACACTCACCGTCGTTGGCCCAGTCCACCCAGAACCTCCACATTGGCCCCAGTGAGGTGCTTGACCACTGCAGAATGTTAGCTGTTTGATAAAAGGGAACGTGAAATATTTAGAGACTGGATGTCTCACCCTGTCGCCGTCGCCGTCGCGCTGGTTGTAGTGCTTGTAGGAACATTGGTTTGGGTTGTCGATGTTGGTGTAGAACCACCCTGTGGATTGTTAGACAACTGGCCTGAATATTTCGTGAAGAAATCCGTTTAGACGTACTACAAATCCAAACCATTTGAGGTCCTCTGCGCCCATGACAGGGACGCTGTGCCCGATGCCGACGCCGTATATCCCTTCCAAATTTGAGCCGTAAACATACTTCACATATGGGCTGCTTGGGTTGTTGTAAAGAACCTCTGTCGGTCCCGAGTACCCAAACACGCCACTCCATTGCTTCATAGTCTCATTCCAGTTGTTTGGGTACAAGGTACTGTCAACCGACCCATGATAGATCTGCATCTTGGGTCGAGGTCCAGTGTATCCGGGATACATGTCAGTCGCAACTTTGGCCCACTGCGCAGCGGTTTGAACCACGTTTCCTTGCGAACAAGTCGAGTTCCATCCGTTGACGGTGCCAGTGTAGAAGCAACCGGCGGGGACTCCAGAATAAACGATACCCGCAGCGAAGATATCGGGGTATGTTGCAGCCAATACATTCTACACGGCAAGTTAGTTAGCGCACATTGCGTCGTTCAGTTTGAAAGTTTCTCAAGCGTTTTCTTACCGTCATCATTGCCCCAGAAGAGGTGCCAGTGACGTAGACCCGGCTCGAATCAGCTCCATATTTCGAGATGGTGTACTTGACCATGTTAGCAATCGAAGTCGTGTCTGCTCCCCCTTCATGAGTGAGTGCCGCCTTTGAAGACACATCCCAGCATGTACCACTGTATGGCGATTCGGGGTAGATGACGATGAATCCATATGTGTCCGCATACTGGGCGTATGGCGTGTTGGAGTAGTAGGCTTGAGCCGTTCCCGAACAGTAATGCACAGCAACAAGGATGGCGGGCTTGCTTGCAAGAGTAGTCGGTACATAAGTATACATCTTTGTTCCAGATGAGTTATCCCCAAAGCTCGTCACCTGCGAGTAGGTTCCAGCCCATGAAGGGCTTAGAAGTGCAAAGAACAGGCATAAGAGCGAGATTAACAACGACATTGTCACAGTTTAACACAGTTTGAATGATATATTTGACAAACCTAGACCTAGTCTTTTTATTTCTCGAACCTGTATCCCACCGCAGTGGACATAATATATATTTTCTAAATGCCTAGTTTCATTCGTTCAATTCCTGGTTGATTGATGAATCCCCATCTTTCCAGCGTTTTAGCCTGATTTTTCAAGTTACATCCATCCCACCAACCCGTCAATTTGGTGGCTAAATAGAAGCGGTAGACGGAGCACAGGCATGAATCCGACACCGCATTTGGCAACGAAGCATCGTCGGACCGTTCATCCGAACGAAATTGGAAGGAAACACACATGTCAGGTGGTGATATGTGATTAAGAGAGGGGTTTAAAATCAATATCAACTAGTGGAATCCGCCCGCGTTGCCATCTTGGTGGAAAACACGCGTCAAGATATCACATGCTATGTATTATTGATTCCACGGGCAGCTGTTTCGTCAAACCATTTCATCGCTGAAATGCCTAATTGCAATTCATTCTTGCCGCTTCATTTAGCCTCGCCCACGTAGGTTGGATGGATTGTGATGCCAGGGCAGCGCGGCTCTTTTCCAAATCAAACAACTTCAACAAATCCCGCTCCCGTTCATGACATTTCCCCGGATGCCTCGGTAAGAGCGGCAAGATTAGGTTGCAAATCGGAAGTCGAGCCTATCCAAGTTAATCATAAGCTATATATCATCCAATGGATAGAAAGATAGGAACATACCGCTTATTTCCCACATCTGTCGTTGTAGTTCTGTACTCATGTTGCTCATCTGGAGTCATCGCATCCCATTTCTTCGCCTTTTGATTGTTTCTCCATTGGTAGTAGAAATATGTGCCAGGGTATTGTATGAACTATAATACTCAAGTAAGCATTTACATAAATGTAGAGCGGGGGAAACTCATAGATTTTAAAATCCCGGGACTTACACAGAGGTAGATGCAAATCACAAGAAGGCCTTTGTTAGCCTTGTAGTAACGCGGAGAGTCGCTTGATTGATAAACTGTGGTATAAAATATGAGTCACCGGGCAGAAAGTATTATGGGATGACTTAACTTACTGTTGGCACCGATCATTCCACTGACTTGAACCCACATGTTATAGAGCCTAGTGACAAAGTCAGTGACACGAATAGGGATCATAAGTCTTAGAGCGCATATCTTACGAAGCGGAAACCGTTCTGTTTTGTACAGATCCGGCGTTTCTACTTGTCCATGCAACTTGAATCGGGTGAGTGCTGGGGCGTTGGTTAACTGAGTGCACCTATCCGAATTTCTACATGCATTTTCCTGGAACCTACTATGGGAACGACAGAAGAACGGTCGAAATGGCAAAATAGGCCCAGGCACTGATAGGATCTGGCAGGGCGATCAGGGCTATAAAGCACGGCAAGAGCCATGCATCTTCCGCCATCGCCACAAAGCTCCTGTTGTTGACAAGCTCACTGAGGCCCGTGATGAGTAACATCGTGATGCTGGACCCGACAATGTATGGAATCGAGAGCAAGTTGGTGTGAATAACGTTGAAGCCCAAACTGCGGAATGACAGGGTGAGGTACTGGTCCACGGGGTACTTGGGCAAACCGAATAGCAAGCCCAGAGCATACAAGGGCCACATGTCGTAGTCTTTGGCACATTCCCAAATCTGTCTGACCGATAGACCTTGTCGGTTGTACATTCCTCCCTTCTGAGGATCGTCTCGGATAACTACGCCATGGTTAGATGTTCGCTTGTTCCACTTGAGAGCTATAACTCACCAGAATTGACAATGATTTTCTGTTCCTTTTCGGTAAAGTATCCTTTCGGATTCCACCAGCTTTTGGTCCTGGTGGGACATTGTGGCATGAGGAAGAACGAAAGAATACCAATCAGGACTAGAGGTCGGTTAATATGATGGACAGGAGTTGAATAATAGATTGAGATTCTCACAGGTAAACGCGCCCCTATATGGTTTATTAGTAATAGCCATGAATTATTTGCGGGATGGGTCACTTACTCTATTAAAAACAACCATCGCCATCCTTCGTAACCGAGTATGCCACGCATAGAAACCAGACCCACGGCGGCAAACCCAACACAGATATCCGCTATTCAATGTTAGCAAACAATGTAACAGATTGCACAAACGTCTTGATATAATTACCAATTTGTGATGACATCCAAAACCAAGCCAGTCGAATGGGGAGCTGTTATCTTAGGTCAGTGCCCCAGTCCTTATGAGTCCCAGCCGCATGGTACTTCTTACCGCAGTCCCTGTATACCAGTAACTAAGATATAAAATTGTATCCGGGATGAAGCCTCCTTGAAATGTGGCACTGAGACTAGTTAGCAAAGCCTGGTTTGGGGATTCACGAGGCGACTTGCATCAAATATCTTGTAGCAAGGAAGGATGCTCTGCCTTTGAGGAAGAATTGAAGAGCAGAGATAAGACTGAAGATGCAAATTTGGATGGGAATCCACATATCTGGCCCGATACTAGCAGCTGTTAGCTACTATGGCATCGCCGTCTAGAAAAAGAAAAGATGTACCGTTTCGATATCAGCTGGGAGGGGAGCTCAGCAACCAGAAAGCCAACCCGAGCAATAGTTTGTCCAAGATTCTGCAAAATTTGTTAACTCTCAGTCAGTAAACTACGATTAGGAAATGGAGAAATATCAACGAACATAATCCGCTTTGGTGAGGCCCAGATCGTCCAGCATATTATCAGATACGGCGTTCTTGATGTTGCCTCGGTCAATGTTGAGGGCCGTAAACATGACGCAGGCCCAGACCTGGTAAATACGATTAGCTATCTTTTACAAGGCCACGATGAACTACAGCCAAAACACTTACCATGATCTTCCAGTCAACCTTGTGCCTGACTGCAGTCTCCTCCTTCCAAGTCCAGCGGAAATTTTGGTCGAATGCCGGCCAATTCTCCCATTTAGGGTGAATGTACAGCTCTTTGAGTTCTTCGATCTTTTCGGAATCCCAGATGCTAGGCTGAGTGGCAATCTAGGTACAGTATAAGCCAGGCTCCCGGGCACGCCAAAAAGAAAATTCAATATTAGCTTACAGCATCGGGATTGTATTTCTCGTGTCGAGGACCTTTTCGAATTCCCAAGAACCGTAGGACAACATCACCCAGTTCCATTCGCTTGGGCTCAGTCGTTGAGAGCGGGGGAGCTGCAGACCGCGGTGATGTTTCAATAATGTTGGTTTCTGTCTTTCCCGGGGACTTGACGCTACCATGTTCAGAGAGAGAACCAGACTGCTCTCCCACTGAAGGAGCGTCAATCTCCTTGTTTGTCGCCATCCTACAAGATGCCTCGAGCTGGCGCCCTTCGCGTTTGTCGATGTTCTCTGTCGATTTTGGCTTGTCGTCGACGATGGAGCCAGATCAGGAAGGTAAAAAAAGTGAAAAAGAGCGCAATAGGATGGAAGAGGGATTCTCAATATTTATAGCAGTGATCAACAAAGACAGGCCCAGGCGTTGGTTCATTCCCTTCGCGTGAGCAATTTGATCCATAAAGGGGGGCCAGTTGAACCGACGCGAGGTCAATAATATGCGTTCTATTAGCAATTGGAGAAACTTAGCACCTAGCTTTAAGAACTAGAAGAAAAATTACGTGAATGATATCGAGCCCCCCTGGACTTGTTGCATTTTTGATTCCCTTTTAGTTCCCTTGGCCGAAAGAATGGAGCCCCGTGCCGTGTCACTGATGAAGCCATCGCTAAGCCAAATGTCGTGCTTTACACCATGTAAGAGAAACCGATACCGACCCACCTCTCCATCATGGCAGACAGGGGTTATGAACGATTATGGCTTCATAATTGGCGAGGTTTGGAGGGAGAATGACGCTATGGGTCTGCAACGCACTGGCAAATGGGTGTTCAACTGGTCGCCACCAGCCAAAACTTCTTCCATCCCCCTTCTATGCTTCTAATGACACAATTGCGGAGACGGCGGCTTGAACTCGTCTCGTTACCCGGAGCCACAACCGCGTAACTTTCGATTAAAAGGCGTGTCGGGCCTTTTCCGGCCGTTCGATAAAGCGGCCACTTCCCGATGCTAAATAACTTGGCATAAGGCTGTAGTATCCATTCCATTCATGCCGAGGGCGTGTCACTTTTCCGAGACGCCCGTTATTTTGCATCTTCTCCTCCGAGCTACTTCCTCTGCTATCTAGCAGCGGAAAGACATGGGCAGAGTAGAACATAAACAGCCTCATTACAATTAGCACCTTGAAGAGGGTCTGAGTAGTCTTCACCTTAGTCCCTCTTTAAACACACAGAGGCTAGTGGAGGAGGCCATGAGAACTGGGAACTAGCCTGGTTCATTCGACTGCTATTCTAGAAAACGAATGAAAAAGGCCATTCATATTGTCACGCTAATTAGAAGCGTTTATTACGCGAGTTTAGTTCTAGATCACAAGCTGGCTTGCCCCCTCCGTCGTGCTCCAGCTCTGCCAGTCTTAGCTAAGGTGGTGTGGTTGAGACCCTTGATGTTGAGGTATTGGCCCCTTACGTTTCACACAATAAACTTGTATAAATGGGATTCATCCACATTTTTAGGTTTCTCACTTCAGCACCTTATCAATAAAGGTGAATCCTCATTTCCGGTGCGATCTACTTTGGGTAAGGGAAGAAGACTGGCGGTGGTGCTCACACACGGGCCCAGAACGTAGGTTGCATTTCCGCGGAGTCCAACCCTTAGGGTCTTAGTCAATAATTCGACATCCCAAGGAGGGTTTTGCGCCATGCTCCCAGCAAACGGTTGGACAGCCTTTTGAGTGTGTTCAAGGTTATCAGTTACCGAAGCGGGGGTAGGTGACAAAGCAGGGTAGTAGGGCTAGTCCTAGAAAAGGGGAAATCGTCAGCACGAAATATGATAGGCATCGCGATGATCGAGCTGCAGATGCCCCCCACGGGGCCAATGTTCCTGCCGCTCCGTTCTTCCTGCCTCAGCAAGTGCTTGATAGCACATTACGAAGATACTGAGGACATTTTCTCAGTTAGTGTGCTTACTTAGGCATCTTAGTCCCAATCCAATGGAAGTATCGGACAAGTAATGTACATAACAGTCGAATTTCACTTCGACGTACATGAGCTAAGAGATCAAGGATGGAGTAGCTGTTTTTGCGTGACGCATACACTAAAGCCATTCACATTGCTTTCCACCATTTATCATAGGCTGAATAGACAAACTGGTGAAAGAAGACAAAGTTTAACTGTTTCTGTTATTGAGGGTCTCAAAGGTTGGACGTAGGATTTTGGAGTCCAACGCGCCGCATTTGTAATTCGGGTAAGCCCTCAACTTTTATCTACTCTAGTCTGAGTTACCCATGGCTTTGGAGTTTGTGTAGTTATCAAATAAGTCGCACATAATTTATTCAAAAGATCAATTAAATAAGATTAGGACATGTACGTCCTCATTGTTCAAGTTAGACTGCCTTCAACATGTAGTGTGGAACTGATGAGGACGGTAAAATGACTGGATTTACCCCTTCGAAAGGAATGATATTCTGGTATGGCATGCTACATAAAATTGAGCTCATTAGCCGCCATTAGACCGATCATGATGGGGCCACCAGATAGAATCGTCAATGTGCATTCATTATTTGCTTTATTATCAAAAGTGAGTAATTTGATTCGTTTCTTCAAGTCTTTATAACTAGTCGCCTTTTCCTTCGAGCTCTTCCGAGCCGTTGCAATATGCCCAAGAACGAGACTATCATGATAGTCATGTGAAAGAATCTGCATCTTCGATTTGATAGCATACATCAAGCCTTGATACTCGACATTCATGCGAGTTAACGAAGGGAATTTGCGATGTTACCTCATCAAGCGGACTCATTCGTCATTCATCATAACATAACGCCAGGAGATTTAAATATCAATCATAGTCAGATTTGCGTCACCCAGAACGATTGAAGAAGATGATGCCTCATAGACTTTCCAAGGGCGCTCGCTATGTCTCAAATAGTGGGTTATGTCAAGCCATCACACATGGGGTTCACAGTCGAAAATGATACCAGATAAAAAGATGAAGGTGAGATGTTTATCAGAACAGTACATATCATTAAGTTTGTCAGAAATGTAGAGGAGGTCTTGGTATAGAGGTCGAGGGGTTACTGGGCGTAATTCTACATCACGACCAAACCGCATAACAGGTATCAGATCCTGTGGCGCGCTACCAACATATCGACCTCGCCAATACTCAGGTCAAACAGAGAGTCAATAAAGAACAACTCGGCGAAACCTCTTTAAAAGGTCACTCGAGTAATTCCGAGATAGGCTAATACGAAACAGTCAGCCCCTAGATAGACTCAAGACAGAGCACAACCTCCTTTAGATTATTCTTGCTAGGCAAGTCCGGGAGGGGTAGGTATTTCACTAATAACATCGCATAAGGAATAGTCGCTCTTCTGGTCTAGTAAGCAAGGATGTGCTTTCAGCTTGGCTTGGCCTGCAGGAGAGGAGGCAGGAAAGAGTTGACTATTCCTTGCCAAGAAGATATCAGCCAATCATTTCTCATGCACAAAAGCCCGTATCTCAGCTGAAACAGGTGCCGCCAATGAAGAATCAGTTTGTACGCCACCGTTTAATGAAAAATCATAGCGTAAATTGATAAATACCGACTCGTCTACCCATTCTTTTTCCTTCGGGGGGTCGGTTGTCGTCGTTGTTTTCATCTTTCGGCAGGCGTGTTTGGAATCAAAAATGGCGAGCCCGACCACCGGATCCAGAATTGGGTTCTATATGGATGGATCGTCAGGTACGAATAGCATCAACTCCTTTCAGGGTCGTTCTATGTTGATTAAATTTAAATCGAACCAGCGGTCCCAATCTACTGCCCAAATGGAAAGCCCTTTGGCATCACCGACCAGCTTGGACGGTGCGACATCACACGAGCAGCGACGGCAATAGAGTGTTTGTCAGGCGGCATTCCGGACGGCTACGTATTAGAAAAATATGTCTACTCGATCCGTGGATCCAGCTGGACTATCAATCAGTCACAGTATTGGTACGTATACTGCGAAATATTGGAAGACATCAAACAAACACTCACGGTCTAGCCCAACTTCCGCGCCTTGCGTGACCGTCACCTTATACGAGGATATGGAAGCGTCGGCGAGTAGTTTTAGCATGTTCCAATGCCGCGGCTCAATCCAACTGCCGCGCGGTGTTACGGAGGTTTTCATGACCATTCCTTCCACCGTAGGTATGTTTTCTCGAACTGAAGTAGCAACGAAGATCAGTTGTTGGATACTAAGAACGTTGGCGAAGCTATCACGACGAATACAGCAAATTCGCGACAGCAAACCACTGGAGGAAGGGATGCCAGTAGCTTGGCCCCGACCTCGAGGTCAACAGCCTCAGCTCCAGGCCAAACTGAAAACGCAGTCCAGGGAGGTGGAACCAATCCCGGCGTGATTGCCGGCGCGGTCGTCGGGGGCGTAGTAGGCCTTGGGCTTATAATTGCAGTCGTGGTATTTGCCTTCCTACTAGGAAAGAGAAGAGCACCCCGGGATGGCGCAAGCGGAGGGCGCAAGGATGGTGGAGATATCTCGGGGCCGTCACCTCACAACGAAATGATGACAACTCCGGAGTTGCAAGCCACTAAAACCAAGGCTACTTTTACGCAAGTTTCTAGTGCTCAAGAATTGGGTGCAGATGCTAGAGCAAACAGCCAAAGGACTGAACTTCCGGAGGCTCAGAGGTCCGGGCCCCCAGAGTTGATGGCAGATAGTAGAGGAGCCGGTCCTGGTTCTGAGCTTCCGGCGATGCCCTCTTCACATCAATGGCCTACGCCAGGCACATATCCGTCTCCTTATGAGATGGAGGGCTCATATCGTCCGCCTCAAGCCCCATAGGGCGTTAGTAGCCTCGCAATTGTGGGTGGGTGAATTGGCCGCTTAGTGGAGCATGTATCGACCTTGAATACTAATACGGGATAAATCTGTCGGCAGTGCCTTCGCTGAGTTTTACCGATTATATCAATATCAACAGAGACTAATTCCTTAACGAACTATAAAACCAAAAGACTTGTGACCATTGTTGGATATTCTACTTGAAACAGAAAGTAAGAAAGTAAAAAGCAAACTCCTTGTCCTCAAAAAGAGAACCAGCAGTATTCATCCTCCTTCCTATATTAGAGCGTCCTAGCGACAATGTTTTCGAAATGAGTGGCCACCAAGTCGGCAGAGGATGTCCTCAACTCCTTCAATATCTTCTCGTTGTCGGTTATCTCGCTGTTCTGATTAACCAAAAACACACCACCCGGCGTCATGGTAGCTTTGCTCAGGCCCTCAGGAATCGGCGGCGACAGGGACGTGTTGGCGTCCACAGTGTACCGAGCATTAGTCGCTTGGAAGAGGGCTCGAGCGCCGGAATCAGCTGCGGATGTTGCGAAGAATGTATTCACAAGAGGGGATACAATGTTTCGGAGAAGAAGGCCGGAAATTCCCCTGGAAGCACGGGATAGAATTGGAGTGCGGACAATGCCGGGATGCGAGTGGACGAAGCTGATCTTTGGGTTCTCCTTGGCCCATTTCTCCAGCATCAATGTAAGCATGGTGGCTGAGTGGAAAGCTGCTTTGGCGATGGAGTAGTTGCCGGGCTTCGCAAGATCAAGGTCGTCCAAGTCAATTGAGGACTCCATCCCGCCAGCCAAAACGTTGGTAACGTGTGGGTTTTCGGAGTTGTTCAGGAGGGGAAGTAGTTGCTGGATGGCTAGGGCGCGGCTGTAGAAGCGGGTTGTCATTGAAGGCTCTAGGCCTTCGGAAGTTTCTAGGGAGAGGATAGATGTTAGTGATTCGTCTGTTGAGATTGATAAAGGGGGTTTCTCTATTCTTCGTGCAAAGGCCAAGTCACATACCAATTCTTCCTTCAAAGGAGATGAAGCCGATGGAGATGAATAGCAAGTCCACTTTAGTCTCGCTCTTTTTAATAAGTGATGTAGCTACTTCAATGTCCTGAAGGAGAGAGCCATCTTTCTCGATGAATTCAATCTTAGCGGTGGTATCGGTGCGCCGAAGCTCTTCAAGCAAAGGGGCCGATTTCACTGCACTGCGGCCGACGACATAAACACGCGGAGACTTGCCCTTGGCAGCGATAACAAATTGTTTAAGTGTAGCTTCACCAATTCCGGAGGTTGCACCGATGAAGACAGCAACCATGTCATCAGGGATGAAGGCAGGAAGACTCTCGGTGTTTGATTGCTTGACTTTCGTGATGGGTGCCATTGTGCCAATTATTACAAGTTGAATTGAGCGACGGCAGTATGTGGTATATTTTATGAGTACCTTTTATAAGTACCGAAGGTGGTCGGCAGTTGGCGGAGCAGGTGGGCTGATCGTGGTGGTGTAGATCGGTGGGATCATATCAAACAAAACTGCCCGACGGTGGTTGGATTGGGGGAGACTTATATTCATAATAATACCTTAGTCGCCGGTTTGCTCTGTAATGGGGAATTGCGGCAAGATCAATGCTGCCATGTTCATGTAATCATCATCCATCCATATACATCACAAACCTTATCAAGTACGGGCAGAAGCTCGCTCCAGCAGGTGATGATTGGTAATTCGCTCTCGGCCGGCGATAATTACTGGTCCGTCGACTGCTTGACCGAAAATGGGGGCACTTGGCCATGGCTCGGTCATTAGACAAGACCGAAAACACCACCAACAGCCATCCTCGCACTTGCTACTTTTCCGAGTGCGGGACTGCCGCGGATCTAACCGTTCCAAACTTGGTAATACATAGCTCCGTTCCATCGGGACTCACATGCGGAGGACATGGGTTGATTTGTCCGCAAATTGCCGTCAAAGTTACCGTCCAAGAATCTCCGGCACATCCCAAACGCTCGAGGTAACTACCCTACATCACATAACGAACAGGTTTTGGGGACGATGATTATCTAGAGCAAATGAAACGAATTCTCTATTTTAACGAGATACACGCAGGTTATACCTGCCTGCTAACTCTTTCCGAACTATCCGTAGTGCGGTTTTGTGTCTGTTGGATCGAATTTGTCACGGAGCATACACACGGAACGTTTGAGATTTTGTGCGCCGATACTTGATTAATAAGTAGGTACTCAACAGCCTATGACAACTGTCACACCGGCAATGAATACCAAGCGCATGGCTTGCTCAATTGAACTATAATACTAACCGGCAGAGAGTACTCAAAAGCTCTGGGTGGAAAGCGGCTGACATAGTTGTGCACCTGAACGGACGCTTCATAACGGTGATTGTTCACTGCACTACCACTTTACTTCCATGTTGTTACGTGATGTCTCTGCACTACTGCAGTTGGCGTCTTGAGTGACCCAATGTACCTAGAAGCTACTAGCCGGATCATAGGCGTTGTTTCTAGCTTAATGGTGCGCAAATTAGCTTCGCTGGGGCTAAAGCGTCCATGGAGCTCCCCGTCCTTTTTGCTCCGTTAGCCATCTTCTAAAGATACCTACAATCTTATTCATCTCTCGGGCGGACGGGAGTTCATCACTCAAGTCTCTATATCATATAGTGTTCAGAAAAACCATGCCACTTATCGTTTGGCGAGAGAGCGCTGACCCAGACGCCTACGAGACCGCGCGTACAAGCAGACTGTTCAATGGCGTCATCCCCCGGAGATATCCTGTCGCTATCGCATTTGCAAAGTCTGAGCAGGACATTGTCGATGCGGTAAAGACTGCTATCCAAAAGAACCACCGTATTTCGATCCGTGCCGGTGGCCATAGTTATGCTGCGTGGAGTCTGCGGTCCGACGCTCTGCTCCTCGACCTCGGCCAATATGTAGAAATGGATCTCGACGAAAACAGCGGCATCGTTCGCGCATCACCAGGCGTGACAGGGGGCCAGCTGAACGCCTACTTATCGACGAGAGGCCGGGCATTTCCTGTCGGACACTGCCCTGATGTCGCTCTGGGGGGATTTCTTCTGGGCGGAGGGATGGGTTGGAACACCAACGTGAGCTGCCTCGCCTCTCCCTGTTTTGAGACAATAGTCTAATCCGGGCTAAGAACTGGGGCTGGGCATGCGAAAGCATAGTTGCAATTGACCTGGTGACCGCAAGTGGTGAGCTCATTAAAGCAGATGCGCACAATAACACAGATCTGTTTTGGGCCGCCAGAGGTGGCGGGCCAGCATTCCCTGGAGTTGTGACGAGATTTCATCTTCAAACCCAGCCAGCCCCCGAGGTCATCCGTTCGTCTGTATACGTTTATCCAGCAGAACACTACAGCGATGCCTTCAATTGGATAATAAAGGTATCGCAAGTCACAGTATTTCAAGACATGTGCTTGTTTAAGACCATGCTGACCAATATCAGATTGCCTCAAGCGTCGACCAATTGGTTGAAATAACTGTTGTTGGAAGCTATAAAGAAGAGGTTCAAGATACATGCCTTACCATTATACTTCTTGCATTCGGCGACGATGAAGACGCTATGGTTGGCATCTTGCAAAAGGTAGATCAATCACACCCTGCAGGTTCATTATCCCGGTCGTTCTCCGAGGAAACCTCCCTTCACCGCGAATTAGGGAACAAGTACAAGGCGTACCCTATCGGCCACCGCTACAAGGTCGACAATGTGTTTCTGAATAACGACGCGGACGTGGCTGAGCTGCTGCGGCCGGCTTTCACCACTCTACCGACCAGAAAGTCGCTTGCACTATGGTCTTCTATGAGACCACGGAGCACACGGGCGTTGACCGACATGGCCCTCAGTATTCAATCGGACCATTACTTTGCCCTCTATGTAATATGGGAGAATGAGGCTGACGACTTGGAAAATGGCGCATGGCTAGCTGGCGTAATGAACGAAGTGAAACGCCAGGCAGCGGGTGCATATCTTGGCGAACAGGATTTCCAAGCTCGCGAAGCCAGATTATGGGGAAGTCAGCAATACGAGAGATTGGTAGGCATCAAGCGGAAATGGGACCCAAGCCACCGAATCTGCGGGTGCCTTGGGCTGGAGGAGCTCGATTAGCTATCCGCCGATTATGCGTACATGTATCCTAGTAGGGACTTCGGTTTATAGAAGGAACTGTAGCATTTTGATGGCATCTTTCTTCGGGTACGTTTACCTTCCGCCTTGAGTTTCGTAGCAGGAGAGGCATCGTCGAGCATGAGGGATTTAGCACAGCCATGCGATCCAAACAGCCTCTGAGGATGCCTTGCCACGCAATGATACTCAAAGTGCGAAATATCAATAACACCACGGATGTGCATTCGGCGGGACTAGCTGGAACCCCACCTGCAGTACCCCCTGGATAAGTGCTCAGATGACGGTGAAGCGAAAGTGCTAAACTCGGGTGTCGATGCTGTCCCAGAAAAGAACCAACAAAAACCACACTGCAGGCTAATTTTGGCAAAGCTATTCGTTGCTAATTATATCATGCTCGGTATTCATATATGTAGGTTGGTCGGCGGGCTATATTTAGGACCAATCCTCTAGGACTAGGTGAATATCAACGTATTATGTATGTATATATGGCGCGGGAAGGGCCTCAACCTCCCATCTCCTTCATGTCCCTGTGGCCAAAACTACGTCCAGGCCGTCGTTCCCTCCCTCCAAGATGCCATACAAAGTGCAGCTCTGGACTCGGCCCGCGATGTCGCCTTCGTGATTTCTGCCAACGCGCGGCAGGACGCGGGGTTATCCACCAACCCCGAGATATCCCTCGTTCGCATCTCTCTCGCACACTCGACCCCTCCTTTTTCGACACGCTCCGATGTCTCCGGTTTGCGCCTCGTATACACAGCTTCTGGCTCGGTGGGCCGCACACACAACGGTGAGAAGGCGTCCTCCTGCCTTGCATTATCCCGCCCCATTCACCACTCCGGTTTTGACAAGCGTGCTGCATGTCTGATCATGTGTCGGGCTATCGTCCACCACTCACTGGACACTGGGGGCGACAGGGAAATTATCGCCACCCTGAATTGGCTTCCCTTTTCCCAATCCGTGGGTCGGGGGATAGGTCGCTTTCTGGGATATCGCCTCCCTTCACGTCCCTGAATCCCTGGGTTTTCCAAAAGGTCTCAGCTCGCGCTACCGGACCATTCCCTGCTTCATGTTCCTGTTGCTATCGCGGGCCAGGGATAATGGGAAGTTCCTTTCGGCACGACGAGATCAACATGTTTGCCAAGCCCTTTCTGCATTAATAACAGCAGCAGGGACGAGAGATCGCCCTGATTGGGCTGCGCAGGACAAGATGAACCTTTCACTTTCTCACAAAAGGGACGAGTCGGCATGCACTCCCCGTGCATTTCTGGACGCTGGATATCTTCTGTTTTCGCCCCCAGGTCTCGCGCTGACGGATGCCTCGAGAGCTCAGATCCAGGCTACGCAACAATGGCTTCAGCTGATTATTACTCCGTCTCTCCACCCTCGGACGATTTCGTATCGTCGTGTTCTGCAGGCCAGATGGGCTCAGCGTATCAGCCTCGCCCAAAAAGCCCCCCTCGCATCCAGACTAACACAGGACTGGGCATGTCAGAGCCAACCAGCCCGTAAGTTGCACCGCCACACCGCACTCCGGGAGTTATGACGGTAGATGGCTAATAGCAAAAACTCAGCAGTATCGCGCTATCGCTTTCTTCGAGTGAGAAATCCAGGATGGTGGCAATCATGGCCATAGAGCTGTTGGCTTTTGAGGGCAAGCTAAACAGCGGGCGCACGAACTGGGCTTGTCCTTTCGATTGCAAGGAGAACTTCCCGACCGCAAAGGCATTGATGCGACACGTGCCTTTTTGCGAGCACTTTGCCAACCAGAGGGTTTTCTGCAACATGTGCTGCGCATACGACTGCTTGGAAACCCATGAACTCCCAGCCTCGTCGTCCCTATCGACTCAAAAGAGGGCTCTGCGCAAATTCGCGAAAATCTTCACGCGGTCGAGATCGCCCCTTCCGCAATCCCCAGAGCCTGAGGAGGCGCAGAGGATATCCAGCCCGCAGAGTCGGGCTGACACTGTCAGCCCAAGTTCCAGTATGAGCGGCAAGTCGGCTTCGATGGGGTCTATTTTTGAGTCGCCAAGACAGATCAAGATGCAATCACCGTCTCCGGTTCACAGCCCAGAGATAACCAGTGGGATCAGCGAAATGGGCGGGAACCCAATTTCTGAGCTTGACGACTCGCTGATTCCGCAAGAGCTGCCCGATCCCGTTCATCAGCCACAGATGTTGCCCAATATTGGAATCGGGCCGGAGCAGGATGCTTGCAATAATCCAACGCAGCATGAAATCTCAGGATTCCAGCCCCTGGTCCATGATACGGCTGCAAACATAGATTTCGATATGGAAGATGAGCTATTGTGCTTAGATCCGTTCAATGAATCTTTCTTCACGGCTCCCTTCCCTCATCATGATGCCAGCAGGGAAGCGCCAGCCCAGAATTTTGTATCCCAGGAAGGTCAGGGAGACGTGAATTTTATGTACCAAAACGGCGTGTCAGAATTTCCCACAGAGCTCAGCACAAAGCAATTGCCACATACTCTCACTCCAGACATTGGATCTCTGGACAGAAATCACCAACCTAGTTCCCAAGACTCCTCATTGTCCAACAGCTCCCTACCTGACCTTGGCTCTCAGCCACCAGTTGGCGGCAAGATGCCTCGGGGACCACACATCTCTATTCAGGTGAACCAACTCTCAGGTAATCCTTGGCCATTGCCACTCTCGGCAAAGTCAACCCTACTGACCCCGCCGTGGTCGGCATCTCAATCGTCATCATCCCAGCCGTCCTCAGCAACTACGCTCTCACCATTCACCCCGATTTCTCATGGAGCTCACCGGTTCAACACAGGCCTGGAATCCCCCATCACACCCGTTCAGCAGGACGGCCAAATCTTCAAGTGTCCTTACTGTGAGTACATCACCACAGGGGAGAAGACGGGAAGTTATCCCACCTACTTCAAGAAACATCTGGAGACGCATGGCAACAACACGTTTCCCTGCCCCGGTTGTGAAAAGCCATTTACACGCAAGGATAATTTGAATGTGCACATGAGGGACTACTGCTCGAGTTTACGGACTATTGGGTGTGAGTTTTCTTCGTTGCAGGTGACTAACGGGCTCCTCGCGACGCTGCCTAATTCTAATGACACTTTTTCGACCAGTTTAAAGGATAGGAAGCCGAGATTACTGGGGAGACAGCCGAGGACTCGCAGAAGGGGCCGTCGGGACGGTCTACAGGCTGTCTCTGAGGGGTCTTCACGAAATTCACGAGTATATGGAAGAAAGAAGATAGGATTTCCTCAGAGCTAAACTCAATGAATAACAAACAAAAAATAATTAATTACGAAATGAGCCCACCACTTGACCCATGACTGAACCTTGTAGCGGATCTATAAGCACCATGTTCATTAGAATGGCCATAACGAGAGAAATTATTGCCAACATAGGCAGGGACAGGATCATAGATAGTCGACTCAACTTGGCCGAAAGAAAGGGCCAAATGTTATCGCGTAATATTGAGTCCAAGGAAGAACTGCCACATCACTTACGGCTCCTCCGTGGCAAACGCTTTACGAGGCAGTCCAATGTTCAGCTGGGTTCGGACGAGCCGAAAGCAACCGCCTTCCCCTTCTTCCACCTATCAGGCGTCTATGCGACACAGAAGTGGCAAATGTGTGTGTTAGGGAATCATGTTTCATCGATTGTAGGAGAATCTCAGCTCGCACCCTACTTACGGATTCTTCGGAAGGAGGCTCAACATCACGTATGTTCTTCGCCCCAGGGATTCAGGGCACAAGTCTAATGTGATGAAAGCAAAGTGAGACTTGGCTCCCCTAGTTCCTGACGACTTTCCTTAGTCTCATTCCCTGACACCGGTATGAAGTTCCAACAGCAAGTTTCAGTTATCTTGAAATTACTAATCATATCTTGAAATCACGTGTGACGACTGGATTGTATGGCCATGTAGTGAACTGTATTTAAGTGAGAGGGAGCCAGTCCCTCGACGTCTTTGTATATCAAAAGCCAGCCTTCTAGACCCAAAGGGAAATCTCCTAGCTAGCCAAGAGGAATCCTATTATATGTACTCTGTGACATTTACATTTTCTTAACCCATCAACTCGCAATCTCTCTTCATTCTTACACAAAATGAACTACAACAGGTTGGTTACTCAATTATTGGTTTACTCGATACCGTAGTCTAACATAGTTCGACATAGGGATAGAACGACAACCACCCCACTCACCAAAGAAAATCTCAACGGTGTTTCGGCAACATCCAATCTAGGGCACTATCTCACAAAGGATCAAAACTTTGAAAAGGTGTCACAAGGCCTGGCGACCAAGGAGAGAGATTCTGCAAAGTATCTCTCCCAGTGGCAGAAGAATTTTGATGGTGCCAAATAGCTGGCATGCATTGTCGCAAAGGTCGTCGCAGCTTTCACTAGGAGCAGGAAACCGATAAGTTGAGCTGACTAAAAGAAAACAGCAAGTTTGAAACTTCCAACCGCGGGAGGGCGAAACGAGCCCTCTTACATGACAACAATGCAACAAGCCTGAAGACTGGGTCGTCGCGGCGTGTTTCTTGGATCCGATGTCGGCGGACTTGTGGCCAGAGCAGACATCAAGAAGTGGCGGGATACACTTCAATCTTTAATGAATAATCATCTCCCTAGGTATACGCAAATAGGTAGATGGAATATAATACATACCGATCAACTAGGTAATCCATTGAAATTTATTACTACAGTGCAACATGTGATTATATAGAATAATTTCCGTTTGCCAAGCACTCAGAACCCAGCAGGCACAGAGCATTGACGTGCCAGTTGGGTCGCCTCTGTTCAATGTTCATGAGCAACCAAATCTTTCTGTGCCAGCCATATAGCGTTCCACACTTCCATCCCCCGTTGCCATAAATCATCCTTGTAGCCCTGATGCACCCTGCCGTTGGGGTCCAACCACAGCAAATGGTCCTCGCCCGAGTTAGCATGTCCCCAATCGACGCTCTTGCCATACAGGAACTGCCCAAATGGCTCGATGAAGTCCTTGGTCGCCTTCTTGTCTTCTTCCGTAAAGTCCTGCCTCCAGCCCGACGCCCACCAGATCTGCGTGTCGGCAGCGTGGAACACTCCCAGTTCCGGCCTGAGCCACGCATCAAGGGCTTTCGCCCTCCACGAGATCCGGTATCGGTGAACCCTCTCAGCCGGCAAGGGTCGTATGTTCTCTCCCGACGGAGGATTCAACAGCAGGTGAGCGAAACCCCTAATTGACGCGTGGACCTGTCCATCGGCCACAATCTGCCCGAAGATCTCCGCATACGCCTCGGGCTTGTCGTTGGCCGATCCAGGCTCCGGTACGGCATACAGAGGACGTAAGGCATCGCACACGACCTTTGGGTAGTAGTTCTCCAGCTCCACCTGGAGGCTCTCGCGCGAGTTGGGCGGGTTCGTGATCTTGTAGAGCTCCTTCTCGTCGCTGACCTCTCCCAGCAGAACGGAGGTGCCGTTATCATGCAGAAGTGTGGTGTACGATCCAGAGTGCAGCGACGACAGGAAGGTAGGGGGGATGAAGTCATTGTCGGTGCTGGCTCGGAATGTGTGTAGCTTGAGCTTGAAGAGGGCATCGACCAAGTCTTTTGACGGGGTCTGGCGAAGTTTCGAGAGCTTTCCTTCTGGCTTTTCCGTCGCAGATATGCCGAATAGGGAGCAGAGGTTGTCGAATTGGCCTGTGAGCGTCTCTGAGTCTGTGGCACTCGGCTGGATCGCCACGGCATTCGACCACAGATAGATCCTACGGATGAGTCGCTGGGAGGCAGGCAAGCGAGCGTCATAGTATAGTTGATAGAACGCAGAATTGGCACCAGCTGACAGCCCGCCCACCGAGATGTTGCCTGGGTTGCCACCAAAGTCCGATATGTACTGGGCCACCCATTCCAGAGCGCACCGCTGGTCCCAGAACCCGTAGTTTCCAGCGGCAGGGTCTTCGCCGGCCGAGCTCAGATCCTTGCCTGCGAGAAAGCCAAATACGTTCAGGCGGTAGGTGGGTGAGACAATTATACGAGGAGCAGCTTCGTTGAGGAGGTCTATCGGGTCGTTTTCATGTTTTTGATTGGCGTTTCCAACTTGCAACCAGCCTCCGTGAAGGAAGAATTGAACTGGCCATCCGCCTTCCGGGGGAGCTCCAGCAGGCACCCAGATGTTGAGATATAAGCAGTCTTCATCCTCCACGTTCACAACGGGCGGTGCGGCATTAGAATTGGGGAGAGAAGCAGCGCCGTGGGTGTATACAGGCTGGGGGCAGATTGGGCCGAACTGGGAGTATTCTCCTGGCTCTCCTGAGGCAGAGTTGAAAGAGAATCCAGAGGGCAGCTTCTGGGTTCGCCTCCATCGCAGCGGCCCAACAGGCGGCAATGCATATGGGATCTTGGTGAAGCGGCGGAGGACGGGCTTTCCCGAGACGTCTCGCTGCTCAATCCCCGACAGGCGACCATGCGGGGTCTCCAGTACGTATGGATGGCTTGTTGCCTGTGTTGGCCGCATTCTGAGCAGAAGTCTTGGGTTTGTGTCTTAGCTGTTGATGGATGAAGAACTCAAGGAGCTGATCGGGTTCCAGTTCGCATGTCTAAGCACCCCAAAGAGAGGAGCGATGGCGCAAGAAGTCATCGATATTAATGGTACTGGATAATGACGAGGGTGGGCCCGGTCCCATCTTCTGGCTTCCGGACATGCAACAAAATGATATATTGGAGAGGTTTTGGGCTGGGAGTTATTTCCGATCTTATGTACCTAGGGCTTATAGAAATATAAACATAATAAAATTCCATTAACGTTAATTAATAATTTATTAAAAATGTTATAAAATTTATTTAATACAATATATCCCACTAGTACACGCAACTAACTAGGTAGTTATATAACATGTTCTTATTTACACCTTAAAGTATTTATCTCTCATACCAAAGTGACAGGGCTCGAGGGAAGGCTAATCAGTTGGATAAGGCCCAGACCTCGGTAAGAACACCTGCTTGTAACGGGTCAACGCCAGTCTCGGCATATTGGTAGCCAACTAGCAAGGTCGAGTTCTCTGCTCGCCCGGCGCAACGGATAACGCTTATTATGTGGACAGAGAAGTCAAGGTTCAGCGCTTGTTTACAAGATCAATGCCAACCGTATAGACTCGGCAACTCAACTAATAACGGCGAGTTCCAAAATGTTGACTCTACCTCATCAAATGGCCTATCATTAGTTAGCCCCCTGGGTAAGGAGTAGGGAGTAAATAAGAAGCATGGCGTATGGCGCATGGCGTAGGGCGTAAGGCGTGGAAAGTGGACACCGGAAACCACTTGCGGGCCTATGGACACGCCGAGAGTGTAGATAGTGTTGATGCGAGTCGCTGGTCCGACGAAGTCTATTATATTGTTAAGGCTGATGTGTCTTGGTCTTTTATGAGTCTCACCGTCAAGGCTTCAACTATGTTGCAAGAGATGTAATAATTTTTTAATTTTTTTTAGATATTTAAACTATATGATAGCTTTAGTCAGATATTGGTTCTATTTTTACTACATCCAACTACATTCTATTCTATGGCTTCGTAACGTAACAAGATCTGATAGCCTCAACCAGTTCGTCTACACTTCCAAGAGTATGTGAGAAAGATGTTACAAAGCGAACTGTCCCAGGCGCCCATCGGTCGTGATAAAACTGGTAGCCACGACCAAGCAGTTCCTTTATCACATGCGGTGCCAGCCGACAAAAGAGTATGTTGGCTTCTGGCTCCCTGAGAAGCTCCGGCCCAGGGATACTCTTGAGGCCATCCGCCAGGCGAGCAGCTAGCCCGTTCGCATGGCGGGCATTTCGCAACCATAACCCATCGGCGAGGTAGGCCTCAATCTGGGCAGTGTGAAAGCGCATCTTGGAGGCCAACTGGCCCGCTCGCTTCTGGCGAAAGGCCAGCTCCGATGCTAACGTAGGGTCGAAGGAGACGATGATGTCGACGGTCATTGCGCCGTTCTTGGTTAAGCCGAAAGAGAGGACGTCAACGCCGGCCTTCCAGGTCATCTCGGCTGGGGATGCGTCGAGATGGACCAAGGCATTGGAAAAGCGTGCACCATCCATGTGGACGCGCAAACCTGCACTCTTGGCTATCGAGGATAGCTCGCAGACCTCATCGACCGTGTAGACGCTCCCGCTTTCAGTAGCCTGGCTGATACTGACAACAGAGGGTTGGACACTGTGAACGTCGCCGGCCTTTCGGCTCACTGCAGCTCGCAGAGACTGAGGATCAAGCTTGGTGTCGTTCCCAGACACCGTGACGAGTTTAGAGCCGCCTGTGAAGGCTTCTGGAGCACCGCACTCGTCGTTGTTGATGTGGCTGTCCGGATGGCAAAGAATACTGCCCCAAGGCTTAACGAGCGAGGCTAATCCGATGCAATTTGCTGCGGTCCCGCTCGAAACTGGGTAGACGTCGACTTCCCTCTCAAAGATTTCTTGTAACCTTTGACGAGCAGCTTTTGTGACGGTGTCGTTTCCATATGGTGGAACATGCTCAGTGGCCGCGGCGATGATAGCTTGCACAATCTCGGCTGATGCTCCCGCTATGTTGTCACTCATGAAGGAGCGACCAGGATTCGGGGTGTAAGGCACCATGATGCAAGTTTGGTGAATATGAAAGAAATTGCAAGTATCTCAAAGAGTGCGGTTAAGGGTTGAAGTAAGGGATAAGGAAATATAAAGACGGATACCACTCAAGGAACATGCCTTGAATACTAGGAGGGAGAAAGAGTTAGATAGAGACAGCGAGAAGCAAAGAGAACAGATACCGAAGCCGTAAACAGGGCGCAACAGGCTCCAGAAAATGTCAGCCTTGTGGACAAGGAAGCCATATTTTTCAGTCTGTTAGAGACACCCCTCGGCGCGAACTAGCAAAGAAAAAATCCACATGGCTGGCCCACCCGAACGGGTTTTGTTCACGGCCTTTGCCGCCCGAATTACCAAAACAAGTGTCCATATCAAGAGTCTCAGTCATGATATCCGACCTTATAATCGATGCAGGGGCTCCCAGCTATCATGTCTTTGTACTCCCTGAATTTTCTCTCTCGACGTGCGACGTGTGTACCTCAAGTCGCCTGCTTCTTTTACCCATCTACTTGGGCAAGATACCTACTTAGAAGCACCCCCATACCGAAGAAAGGGATTCACACCACCATGGAAAAGGTTGAGCCCAGATAAAACATCCAGGAGGAACATTCGTGCTAACTCGCTCTCAGTTTGGCCAGACTGAGGCCGTCTATCACCATGACGAGACCAAGCACGAGCTCGAAACGACCGTCCTGGCTAGCATCCCATTCGCCCAGTGGGACGATGCTACCAAGAAGATATTCAAGGGGGCTTCGGATGGTGGCTGCC